GTGTATTTTGATTTAGGCCTACTGTTTTTGTACGTGTTCTCTATTTTTACTTCTGTTTTTCATTCTTCTGTTTCTCTTTTCAAACCTCTTTTGCATTATTCAAATTATTTAAATTTACTTATTGAATTTTAAAATATATATCTTATGTAGTTTACTTCAGAATTTTTTTTAATTTTTTTTTTCCAGAGAGAGATTTTTGCTACAGAGTGAGCGCTCCCGCCAAAGAGACAGAAAGTGAGAAGTCATCCCCTTTGAGGGATGGCCACTCCACAATCCCTTTTCCTCCATTCTCCTCTTGGGCTTTTGGGCATGCATACACACATAACTGGCATGCGTTTGAAGCCTCCAGGTCTGGGACTCCAACCATGGTTGGCCATGTGGGAGTCCAGCCATGTAACCATTACGCCATCACCTTGCTTTAAAGATCATATCCCGAGAGGATAATGGAGGAGAGGGGATTGCGGATTGGCCATCCCTTTGAGGGGGGGTAATTCCCCACTTTTCTTCTCCCTCTTTCTCTCTCTCTCTCTGGCAAGTGCATGAGTCCTATAGCAAAACTACAAATAGGAAAAAAAACGTTACTACTGCTCATCTCTAAATATATATCATATCCGTGTACATTGGGAACCCTATTAGACTGTGCTGTACCTTTGCTTTCATTTGTTTTATGTGTTTTAAAGAATTTGTAGGGCCAGTTGGTGGTGTGGTGGTTAAGGCTGCAGGACCCTACATGGCTGACTGCATTATTTGAGTCCCAGATCTGGCAGCTTAAATAACATGCCATGCATATGTGTGTGGGTGTGTGTGTGTGTGTGTGTGTGCCAGGAATCCCTGGTGGAGGAGAACGGATCACACCATGACCATTCTGGGGAAAAGATGTTCTCACACTTTTGTCTCTCATTCTCTGTCTCTCTCTGATGAAAGCATGTGCCCTCTGGCAAAAAAAAAAAAAAAAAGAAAGAAAGAAAGAAAAGAAAGGGCATAGGTTTTTCTTTTCACTGCCATTCTAGATAGTTACCCATATATTTACTGTTTTTTCTCATCCTTTGTTTCTGAAGCTTCACGCTTCCTTCGGTGTTATTTTCCTTTAGTCTGAAGAACTTCCTTTAGCATTTCTTTTAGAGCAAGTTTTTTGGCAATGAATTCATTACTTTTCCTCCATTTGAGTATGTCTTTATTTTACCTTCATTCCTGGAGGATCATTTTAGTGGATATAGAATTCCGACACAACTATTTCTTTCAACATTTTAATAATATTTCAGTAATATTGTTCTACCACTTCTGGTCTCTGTGGTGTTGTCTGAGAAATCTGCTGTCATTTTAATCATTGTTCTTCTCCCCAAATGTAATGACTCATTTTTCTCAGGCTGCTTTGGAGAAGTCTTTTTAATTTAATTTTGATTTTTTTAGTCTTTAGTATTCATCAGTCCCTGGGCGTGAGTGTCCCTGAGAGTGAGTTTCTTGAGCTTATCTTGTTTGGTGTTTGGCAAGCTTCTTGAATCTGTATGTTTTATGCCTTTTTCCAAAATTAGGATGTTTGAAGTTGTTATTTCTTAAAATATTTTTTCTTTATCATGCCCTTCCTATTTATTCTATTTTCCAGACACTCCTGTGAATGTTAGATCTTCTGTTTTTTCCTCTCTGTTTTCATGCTAGATCGTTTTTGTTGCTCTGTCTTTACGTTTCCTGAGCTCATCTAGTCAAGTTATTTGATTATTGGTCTTTTCAGTTTTAAAACCTATTTTTTCTGCTGAGACTGTCTTGCCATTCATTTCAAGACTGTTCATTCTTTAAAAAAAAATCTTTTTAATACTAGAGAATGAACATGTACATGAGAGAACGAGAGAGATAAAATGAAGCCCCCTGCATGGCCTGATCACAGCGTTGTAATTCCATCCTGTCAGGATGCTGGGTTGCACAGGCACCTGGTGTGTTTCTCAAGCACTGGGGCAGGGACATGAACCCTGGTTGGTCATGTGGGTGGGATCCTCAGCCTAACCACTGATCTACAGGACCAGTCCAAAACTGTTCTTTCTTGTCTTAGAACTTGATTTAACATGTAACGAACATCTTAGTCACTTGACTTTAAAAGTTTTACATTTTAATATGTTAAATCTATTTATATTCTCATTACAAAAACCTATGAGGTGAATTTTATTATCCCTATGTTAGAGATGAAGTAACTGAGGCTGAGAAAGTTAGCATGTGTAAGGTTGCAGTATGAGAGAAAGAATTAAAATTGAATTTAGTGTTGTCTCCAAAGCCTCTGGTCATGCTATTTTTTTTTTTTTTTGAGAGATTTTCACTGTAGGGCGCGTGCGCTCGCCAGACAGACAGAGACATAGAGACAGAAAGCGAGAAATCACCCCCCAGGGGGGATGGTCACGCCGCAATCCCTTCTCCTCCATTCTCCTCTCGGGATCCTGGGCACGCACGCACACGTGCCCCGCGTGAGTTTTAAGCCACCGGGTCCGGGACACGAACCGCGGTCGACTACGTGGGAGTCCAGTGACATAGCCATTACGCTAACTGCTGGTTCCCCTGGTCATGCTATTTTGAAAACTGAGTTGAGAGACCAGAGGTGGTGTGGTGGTTAAGGTGCTGGACACTCCCACATGGCTGACCAGGGTTTGAGTCCTGAATCTGGTGGCTTGCTTTCTCACTCCTCTTTCTCTTCATTCTCACCCTCTGTCTCTCTCTGGTCAAGCTAAAAGAAATAAATAAACAAATGAATAAAATAAAATAAATAATTATTTAGAAAAAAAACTGAGTTGAGTAGTGCTTTTGAGAACAGAAAGGAGACAACAGATACTGAATAACAGTGTGGGCAGACACACTGGGTTTAGTAAACATCATCAGCACTTTTTTCACAATTCAGTCTAAAAAAAGTATGCACTCACCTGTTACTGCTTTAAATTTGTATCTTAGGAAATTTATATGGTACAAAATCCAAAAGATGAGAAGAGACACAGTGTACTTCCATATGCATGCCATCATAGCAAGCACATAGGCGTGTATTCATAATCCTCATCCTTGTTTCAGATGGTAACCTGCCTTATATAACGTTCTATATTAACATAATGTTTATATTTAACCATGTATCTTGGAGAGAATTTCCTATGACTACACTAAGTGATTTTTCATTCTTTTCAAAAAATTCTTTTTGCCATAAGGTAGGTGCACTTCTGGAGAGAGACAGAGACAGAGAGAGAGAGAGGGAAATCACCATCACCCCCGGGGGGATAATTGTGCTGCAATCCCTTCTCCTCCATTCTCCTGGGATTTTTGGCACACATGCACATAGGCCCTGCATGAGTTTCAAGCCTCTGGGTCTGGAACTCGACCGTGATTGGCCATTTGGGAGTCCAGCAATGTAACCATTATGCTATCTGCTAGGCCCGTTACTGTTATTATTATTTTTTTTTTGAAGAGGTTTTTGCTATAGGGCGCGTGCGCTCGTCAGACAAGCAGAGAGAGACAGAGAGATAGAAAGCGAGAAATCACCCCCCCAGGGGGAATGGCCACACCACGATCCCTTCTCCTCTCGGGATCTTGGGTGTGCATGCACATGTGCCTGGCATGAGTTTTAAGCCACCAGGTCTGGGGTGTGAACCATGGTCAGCTACATGGGAGTCCAGTGACATAGCCATTACGCTAACTGCTGGTCTCCTGTTACTGTTATTTTTAATTTTGCTGTAGAGCATGTGCACTCACCAGAGAGAGACAGAGAGCAGGGGGTGGGGAGAGTGAGAAAAAAAGCTGCCAGGTTTGCAAATTGAACTGTGGTCACCTATGTGGGAATCCAGTGCGTTAACCACCATGCCACCTGTTGGCCAGCCAATTATTATTTTTCTACATTTGCTTTTTCCTTTTTTCTTCCTTCTCTCTTAGAGAGTTAGTTGCAGAATTGATGACCTAGCACTAAGTACTTTTAGCATCAACTGCAGTTGGCCATGTGGGAGTCCGGGGCCTTAACTGCCGTGTCATCTGCTGGCCACTTCTCCAGCCATTCTTGCCATAAGATTGTCATTAAGATTTTTGCAGAGTTAAGATCTGTCATTTTGCAGAATGCCTTTCAATTAGATTGATTCCTCTGGATTAGATGTAGGTTAAAGATTGTAGACAGAAGCACTGCAGTTGGAATTGTTTACTCTCAGTGATTTATTTCAAGAGGCATGTGCTGTCAGTTTGTCCCATCCATGACAATAATAGACATGTTTTCTTGATTAGGGTGGTGGTGTGAGGTTTCTAAATTGTAAGGGTGAACTAGCCGTGTAGCTCAGCAGTCAATAGATCTGTATCTCACATGGCTGATCTGGATTTGAATCTTGGCCTGATGGCTTGAAAAACATGCTGAGAGTGTGTGCATGTGTGCTCACAATCCTGACAGGATGGAGAAATGGAGTAAAAAGGATTGCAGCATGCCTAGCCCCACTGTGGGAGGGGTGCGCTGTCCCTCTAGTGAGTGTTTAGCAATTTAAAAAAATGTTTAAAAAATTGTAAGGGTACCTTTTTATTTTGCAATTGCTAAGCCATCTCTGGGATGATAACTTGCAACTATTTTGTTCTCCAGTGATCTTTCACTTAGTGCTTTTAGTGCTGATGGTTCTTACCTAACCTAATTATCACTGTGGAAGGTGCATAGTGGTTATTTTCTGTTCCCATTATTCATCTGCATTTATTAACTGGATTTCTTTGGTAAATATGAGTTTCCTCTATTCTTTCTCTTATTATGATTACACATTCATGAGTTCTTTCTTTATTCACCTATTATTCTATCCTGTCAGTATTCATTTTGATATTTAAATTATCCTAAATTTGGGGAAGGGAACCACTTAGTTCTTCTGGGTTGGTACAGTTGTAGCAAAGGTAATAATGTTAGTATTTAGCATTTGAATCCATTTCCTTAGCTTGGAAGCTATGGGGAGTAATGTGGTACAATTGGTGAGACACTTTGCTTTTCATTTGCTTTAGATAACCTTCCCAGGCTTATTTTCTAGCATATCGCTGAACTGAAGAAAGAAAACTTCAACCTGAAGCTCCGTATCTATTTCCTTGAGGAAAGAATGCAGC